GGGAAGATACTTTCAGGTCAGACATCACTACTTGCCATCCTACCAATGCCATTTGACTAGAGTGCAATTACTCTTGCAATGCAAAGTGATATCAGATGAGGACATGGACAGAACAAGTGGTGGAATGTAACTTAATAGAGCCTGCTGCTGATATTTGCTATTTGCATGATACACTGTATTGCCGTAAATGTTCATATGCCTTCACACGCATATGAACTTCAGTAACATCCTATTTTTAAACCATAGGGTTTGCAGCTATAACAGCTGACCACCAAACCCAGACTCGTCCTTCAGATTGCCAGATGGAGATACATGATTCATCACTTCAGAGAAGATCTCTCCACTGCTCTAGAGTCCATTGGTGGCGTTCTTTGTGCCACTGCATCTGATGGTTTGCATTTGGCCTGGTAATGTAAGGCTTGGATGCAGCTGCTCGGCCATCAAAACCCACTTCCTGGAATGAAAGTGGAGCTTCCATTCCGCTGATCTTGAGCTTTTAAAGACTTGTGTAGCTTTTTCAGTATCTTTTAACCATTTTTAACATTTTTTTGGAGCAGCAGAGCAGTGCAGTTAAAAAATTCTGGTAAACTGACTATACTGTCGTCTTAGCAGAAAGAAGTTAAAACGAGTTTTAAGCTAATTGGAGCATGTATCCCATCCTGCCTTGTATCAAGAGCTCAGGGTGGTAGTGCAATGTTGTGGGGAATATTTTCCTGGTACTCTTTGGACCCTTTAGTGTCAACTGAGCATTGTTCAAAGGCCAAAGCCTACCTGGGTATTACTGCATACGCTGTCCATGCATGCACCCATGTTCTGATGGTTCTAACAATGCACATGTCACCACAAAGTGCATCATGTCAAACTGGTATTTTGAAACTTAAATTAAGTTAAAGTTGCAAAAGGTTGCTATCTACAAATTGTCTGTCTGTCTGTCTAATATGTGGAGGTCTGGCTACTTTTTTATTGTATTTCTTTTGATTCCAGTATTGTACGTGAACTTTCTTTGAGCACAGCATGCATTGTTTGAATATTTGTGTGCTTGTAATGGCTTATTATAGTCTAACAAGACTATAAAACCCCAACACAAGAGTTGTGTTGGGGTAAATTAAAAAAAATCAAGATATGACTGTCACTTTGTCCTTTCTAAATAGAACTGAATATGTACCATAATTGTAATTATTAGACAATTTTCTCTTGCACCCACGGAGCTACACAAGAAAGGTGAAAGAGAAATTGGATTCATTGCTCGTGCAACGATTGCTGCTGGCAGTGTGAGAGCCATTTGTCTTAGTGATGTTAGAATTTCATCGGTCTCACGTTTGGATGGGGGCCAGCACCCTCATATACAACTGACTGATTGGGATGGCGGATGGGTGGGGGTAAACAGTCAAACAATTAGTGGCGTCTGCCCCGTGACACCCGTTAACCTCCAGAACTTGGCGGTAATGAGATCTGTGTAATAATTTCTGTGTAGCAGACAGAAACAAGGTGTGCTTATTAAAGTGACGAAATGAACAGAGCCTGTGGTAATTAGATGTAGAATAAAGGCCTGTAATGATTTCATCACCCTCGCCTAAATCAACAAATCATTGCTGTTTGGTCTACTGAAGCAGATCCATTATTGCAGACAATTACAGCAAAGACCCGCTGAAACCTTTTCTTTTACATTCCTCACCGCCATAGCACAGGAATCATAACAACAGGAGACAACGGCTCATGCTGTAATTACCTCTTTGGAAACAAAAGGAATAGATGAATTCAGCTGATTAAATCTATTTTCAGTCTGCATTTCTGTCTGATCCATATGCAGCCGTATTCCCCAGATAAACGCTCCTAATCATCAACGGCTTGCGTATACAGTACCTGTATGTGTGCAAAGGCCGTGCACGAGCTCGCGGGCTCTCCGGGGAAATGCCCACAACGGCTCTCAGTTTTAGGCAGTAAGCTAATTAAAGCGGCAGAGCAGATGGTGCAGGCTTGGTCTGGACATAATGAGACGGTGAGTGGCGAGACGAACTGGACATGGCAGGACAGCTGTGAGGGGTTTGTGAGGTGACCAGAATTCAGGCGTCTCCCAGGAGCGAGAGGCCTCGCTGGCAGTCGAGAGGAGCAGAATTTAAAGTCCATGAAAACTTTATGAGCAGCTTTTTAAGAAGAAGAGGAAGAAGCAGCTACTGGATCAGTAATTGTTTACTTCCTCCAAGTGTGTGTTTGTTGAAAATGCTCCACTGGAAATGAGTAATACCACGTCAGCACAGTGTTTTTCAAAAAAAGAAAAAGAATTATTATTTTTTTCTCCCGCTCACATCCTCAATCACTCGATCTTGGCAGGTGGTTTTTGGTAAACACCAAATCCTCAACACCTGTTGCCAGAGGCTTTTCCTGTCTGCCAGCTCTCACCAACTCTGCTCCCAAATATTAAAAAAAAAGAGAGAGAGAGAGAGAGAGAGCCACAAGTGAAAAAAACAACTGCACCATTACCAAAGTAGGTGTTTCTTTTTTTCCTGGATGGAAGTTAAGTGGCGCACAACAACACCGACACAAACTCACAAAAGCGGCGATTCCTAGAGGTGCAGAAATACTTTAGAGAGCTCATCTCAGAGATGTTCCACACTCCTATTGTGCCTCGCGCGAGGAAGAGGTCAAGGCCGGCCGAAGCAAGCGCTCCCAGGCGTGAAAGGGTGAAGTTTGAGGATGTCAGGCTGTACCTGGTGGAGAGGAAAATGGGCCGCAGCAGGAGAAGCTTTCTGACCGAGCTGGCCAGGTCAAAGGGCTTTATTGTGGAAGACGTCCTCAGGTTTGGGAACCAAAAAAAAGCTTGCCATTTGTGTCATTCACAGACTTAGCAGGGCTTGCCACCTAAAAGCTTTTCTCAATGTGAAGCTGAAAAGAGCTTTAGTGTAAGGGGAGGAGGGGAGTGGGTACACTTTTATTTTCTGGGTTTGTATTTGCTGGAAGCAAACAGAGTGGTTTGACCTGGCGGTTGACTTTTGAGGCCTCTAGTTTAACCCTAGAAGCATTCAGCAGAAGCATTTTCTGGCAGTCAAGCTTATGACTTCAAAATTAAATACTTTCCATGCCTACAAAAAGTTTTATTATAATCTGAAAAAAAAATACAATTACAATTTTGTGGAATAATTGCCTGTTCACAGAATTTTTGACTGATTGGAGTGGGAAAAACATGCCAGGACTTCAACACTGAGACATCCAAAGTTACTTTTTGACACTTTCCTGCAAACTTCTTTTTTTCTTAGAAGCTATGGTCCAATTAGCTAAATAGAGAGCGACTATTGTCTCATGAATAGTTAATTAAGAAGGGTTAGGGCATCCATCCTGCTTCCTCTACACCTTAGTGGATTCCCCCCCCTGAGCCATTACTCACAGCTCCACACATAAATACGTTAAAAGCAGGGGCAAGAAATTGGCTAAACCAGCTGCAGCTTGTTGGCAGCCAGAGAACTACAAACAATAGAAGAAAGGTAACAGAGCACACGCAAACTTTTTAATGAGTTTGGTGAAAGTTTTTTTTTTGTTAAGTCTCACTAAAGAAGAGATGTTCTGTGAGCTTGTTCCTTGGGATGATGATTCATCTATTGCACGGTAATTACAGACGCAGCGTGCCTCCGTCGTTTTTTCTGCCTCTAATTGAAAGTATCTTTTTAAAGTCCCAAACTGTGAGCACAGCAGAAGTCCTCCGCTTGACACCAGAGATGCTTTAGAGTCAGGCTTCTTTGTTAACGCAACATCCCGTTATTTAGAAGTCGACTTTGTTTTCAGTGCTGGGCGTTAAGCTCAGAGTTTGAGCTCCTCTGGTGAGCAGGTGTTTTTGTTTGTGTTTTTCATTGCTTTGCTTTCATGTAAAGTGAGGGCAATTTCTCCTTCTAAGTTAACATTAGCTCAAGGTTGAAAAATGGTTGAAGTTGAGCATATGATGTAGGGTGTATGTACAGGGTTTAGGCAAAGGGTCCCAATGAGTATGCTATAACCAGCATAAGAGCCTGTGTGTGTTTGTGCGCGAGACAGAGAGAGCGTGTTTAAATGCGTGTCTAAGTGGGCCTGCCAGCCGTGCACCAGCTTGGCCATGGCAGCATTCCCAGAAACACAGCTTGAGCGCTCCTACGGTTACACTTGGCTTGATACAATTGTTTGAAACCAACGACAGGAAGTAGAGCGTGCCCGCCTCAAACTGACATTAATTCTGCAAGCCGACAAAACTGCTATCAGCTGCAGTTTGATAGCAACACCTCACGTGCCTAGTCTTACACACGTTATAGGCAGGCTGCCTCCAGCATATGGTCAGATGCGCTGCCTGCTTTCCTCCGAGCATAAAGGAACACGCCCGTACACACAGACACACACAATCACACGACGCACATGCACAGAAGTTTCCACACTGTATGAATTTCAAGTCCTGCGCGCATGAACATGGATCAAAATATTGACATGTTTGTCCTGGGTGACTAATGAGCTGCATTACATGCTGTTTCGCAAATGGGAATAACACACACACACACACGCACAGACACAGACACGTACTTACCCCATAAGTTTAGGTCATAGGCATCATTTTCCGAACGCTTTGTTTTCTGAGGAATGATGTTTTATCCTTGAATTTGTCACAGCAGTTAGATATGATGTTGGATGTGACTGTGCACGTGAGCCTTTGGTGCAGCTGCTGTAAAACAAAAATCAGTGGCAGAGAGTTAAAAACATTTAGTTCAATATGCATCAATATTTATCGTATGCTCGTATTCTAACATATGTTACCCGAGTTCCACTACTAACTATTCCCTCCCACTGAACCTTCATTCCCAATGAAAGCCTTACCTCGACACCCACGTCAAGCTAGCAAGCTAGCAATCACTTCGCAGGCCACCTTCACATTCTTTTTGTTACTTCTTTTGTGGACACTGACACATTTATTCATTTATTTGTTTTCTCTGTACACTACCACACTGGATTTTAAATCAAACAATTTGTATGTAATTGAATTTGAGAATTTTTAACTTCAGGCAACAAAAGCGCTATATTAGCAGTGCTGTTTAAGACTTACCGCCACTTTCATAGGCTCAAAAGTAATTGGACAATGGTTTTGGCAGTTGCAACTGAGATTTACCAAAAATGGGAAAGGAGAAAGGTATGGAAAAGGAGAGAAACGTCTCATGATCTGAAGCATACCACATTATCTGTTAAAAATGGTAAGGGTATAGAAAGGGGATGTACGACTAGCATGTGGAACTGGGCCTCTAGTGTTTCTTGATGATGTGGCTGCTGATACGAGGTAGCAGGAGGAATTCTGTGGCTATACTGCAGTTTTGCAGTGCTTCCCAGTCTTTCTCTCTCCTCCTTGTGTCAAAACTACAAAAGTTGTGTCAACATCCAAAAAGATATGGACATAAACGAATGGAGGAGCATGGAGGTGGTGATGGCAGCTGGGTTGAGTGTAGTCTCTTTTTAAAAGTTATTGTCATACAACTACATATATCATGTGTGTTCTTGAAATGCACTTTGAAAGTCATGGCTTGGTCAATTACTATGCTTCTCTCCAGCTTTTATTTCAATAAGAGATATTTTTATTTATATAAAAAAAAGTTGTCAGTTATTTGGAGTGATGGCAGGAGTTACTTTAGCAATACATTTAACATTTTTCACTAGTTTTTGTTTTAAGAGTAGGTCACACCTAGATCTACCGTTGGTTTTTAAATGTGCTCTATAAATAAAGTTATTGTATTGTATTGTAGATTTGCAACAAATAGTTCTTGAATAAATAAGCTGGATTAATGCCCTGCAGTTACTATATTACTGAGCACTCAGGCCATTTTGCCATCAGAGACAGACTAGGCAAAGAGCCTCGAACAACTGCCATTGCTTGAAAAGTACTATAAAAATATCTTCCTCTTATAGCTTCCTCTCCTCATGTGCATTTCCTACATTTAAAGGTTGACACCATTCTCATGGCGCCAGGGTCCCACAGGGAATACAGTGCACTGATCTAATCTATTTATACTTTATTTAAGACTAACCTTTCAGAGCTCCAGCTTTTTAAATGTGGATTAATAAAAGAAAAATTATTTTCCTTCCAGTAGCGATCATAATTAAGATATTTGGACTTTTGGATGGACAAAGCAAACACCGTAATGGTGTAATGGTGAACTCCAAGACTATTTTCAGATTTTATTACAGATAGTTCCTTTTAGGTGGGTACAGAGACCTGCTCCGTAACTACGCCTCTGTTCATTCAGTTAAAAATAACAGTTTGTATTTTAAAAAGCTTATTTAGGCTTCTTATCAATTATTATTCTTATTAATTTATTAGATAAAACTCTAAATCAAATTAGCCAAGTCCACAGCTTATCTGTTTGGTGCATTTATTTTATCATTATAATGAAAATATATTGCACTACTGATCATGTCTATGCAAACAAAAACCTCACTGTGGTGTAAAAGTCTGTTCCAGGCATTCACAGTCTTTGATTAGCTTGTTTTCACTTTTGGAAAGGACAGAGGGAAGCTGCTGACAGGAACTGGGCACACAGATGACTCAAGAGAGTTCTCCATATCAAAGCCCATTGACTTTAGCCTGTCCTTGTGTCTGAGCTCAGAGTCCCAGTGATTCAGGGAAGAACAGTCTGGTTCTGGCTTTGCTTTCTTGCTCATTTGCATGTCAATCTGCCATTTCACATTCTGCTCAGCTACATATTAAGATAAGGATCTGAATTTTGGGGATATACAAACATAGTTTGAAGGAAAAGAGTGTTTTTTTCTTCATAATCTTAAGTCTTGGTCCAAATAGACAATTCAAACCACTTTGATTTTTGAGAGAAAGCAACCCAAGAGCCAAATCTTGATGACTGTGGTTAGACAATCATTCATGTTGAGCCTTTGGAGATCATAGTTGTGCCGCTCAAATGTGTCTGTTTGAGAAGCTCCTTCAGCATGTCTTTGCACTGAGGACAAGGAGGATTTTTCTGCAAAACACTAACAATCAGTGGCCAGACTGCCAGTGATTTGACCAATTAGGCTTCAGTCTGAGCTCTGCTGGGACCTCCCATAAGGAGTCTTTCCACCGTTTTATCCGTGCTAAGAGAGAAGAAGAAGAGGAGGAGCATGCCGAGTGTGATTATGCACAGCTGGGCAGCCTGATTGGGTTTGGTTGTTAGATTCTGAGGCAGGAAGCACAGGGGAGGAGGCCTTGATAAAAAGCCTGTTGAGATGGTCTCGGTGGAGATGCACTGGCTGAATGAGTTCAGCTATCAAACAATCGAGAGAGGCACTGGGGGTCTGTGGTGATTGTTGTTTACCCAGTGTCGATCCCCAAATGACACAAGTTAGACTGCAATGCTGACATCTGAGCTGCATTTCAAAAGCTTCGCTTGCACCCCTTGCTCTTTCAAAAACCTGCCGAGCCCTAGACGTGAACATTTTTTTGTTAAGACAAGCAGCGAAGGAAACCTTTCGATCAAATAAGATGAAGGCATCCCGTGAAGCAATCCTACTAATACATAAAAAGTCCCAGAAAGCTCCCGTGTCATTCAGTTTTGACATTTGCTTTTGTGATTTTTGTTGTTGTTTGTGGTTAGAAAATATTGGAAAATGTTTTCTTTAATTTGTCAAAGATTAGCTAAAATTCATGAAAGATGATATGTCACTGGTTCTTGGTCAAATTTGGATAACATGCAAATTAGGGATATCTCAAAAAGAAGCAGGATGCTGGCCCTCGAGGACCGGAGTTTGACACCCCTGGTTTAAAGTGTTGCAAAGGTCACCTGGTGGGAGGCAACCTTTCTCCAAACAGCTGCCTGTTCAATTTGAACACACTGCAACCACTCTCAGACAGATTGGCAAAGGTTTCCAAATAACAGCTATTCAGTTTTTAAACAGAGAGGCAGATTGCAATCATGTTGCAATCAGTCTGAGGCAATCTGCACTGGTGCGATGTGCTTCTTTGTAGTAGGCAACTCGTTGGTTGTATTCTGGTTGTATTCCAGTATAAAAGAAAAGTTGCAGAGTGTCCATGCCATTCTGCAGTTAAACTATTGTTGCAAGGTATTTACGTTATATTTTATATTTAACTTACCAGAGTCACGACTTCATTAAACCTGTGGTGGTGCTTAGCAATTGAATGTGATGCTAAGCTAACCTTTAGTGAAGGAGAAGAAATTCAGAGGGGTAAAAGGGCAGACAGCAGGAGAAACCTGCCAGTAGCGTGTTGTGTTAGTATCACATCTTGAGTTAATCTGTGATTTCCACGTCCAAATATTCACAAAGTAGTGTTTCCACTTCAAAAATGTGAAAAAAGTTGTTCAGGTCAGTTCAGTTTTAGTTTGTCTATTTAAGTTTAGCTCTTATTGTTTCAGGGTGTTCAGTTTTAGATGAGTTTTTATTAGTTCAGTGTTAGTTTTGGCTTTTGCTAATATGATATGTTTGATGACCTGATCTACAGAAAAATACTACACAGGATCCAACAGTTTATTAGTTTTAAAAACCCATTTTACATTTTTAGTCTTGAGTTAAGTGTTACTTCACTATAATAACCCTAAACACAAGAGGCTGCTTAGATTTTGACACAGTTTGTATTTCTGCATGTAATAACAGGATTTCTGCAGTTCCTCTCAGCTCTCAGAATTTTAGCTTGTTTTAAATGTTTCTTTTGGTTCTGTGGTGTTTCGTTCTCACCACCACCATTATACTATTTTCAACCAACCCGGGCAAATCGTAGCATTTTTTTTTTATCAATTGCAATCTAAAAAAAAAAGGAATAGATTTTAAGGTCTCTGAAATGAGAATATGAATATTCCGGCATTCGCTGTATAGAAGTTGCCAAACGTGCTCTGAAACAGCTCTTTTTCCACTTCCCCACAGCGATGTGGTGACTCACGTGGTGTCGGAGGATAGCCAGGCCTCATCTCTTTGGGCGTGGCTAAAAGGAGGGCCTGTGAAGAATCTGCCCGTCATGCACGTTTTGGACATCAGCTGGTTCACTGACAGCATGAGAGAGGGGAAACCTGTTGCTGTGGAGACCAGACACATTATACAGGTTTGTGTGTTGCAAATAGGGGTGGGTTTTTATAATCGATTTATTGATTAAAATCGATTCTGGCTTGAATAACGTAAAATCGATTCATTAAATTTTTAATATAAATTTATTTTGCCCGAAATGCCAGAATCTCAGGTGACATCTCACAAAATTTCAACAACCACCAAATAGCTAAGACAGTAAATGAGAACAGGAACATGGATTCTGCAGCTTGCTGATTCTGATGTTTCGGCGGGTCCGCGCTTTGTGTTCACGCCCTTTTTGCACTGATTCTAAAGCTGTTAGTTTTATCTCTCTCCAAACAATATTGACTGAACCAGCAGCAAAAGAAGATCCAAACTATGCTTCACATAAACATCGTCATGAATTCCCTCTGACTTTTGCTGTTTTGCTTCCACCACGATGCACAGCTCTCTCTCGCTCTCTCTCTCTCTGTACTTCAAGAACAGTTTCCCGTCTAAAAATCTGTTTTCTTCATTATTCACTTGCTTGTTATGCACAAGTCTACCGTTGTTTACAGCGCTGTCGGCAGCTGGGTTTTTTTTTCCCTTTTACATTCTTCCGAAAAGAAAACCTCATTTCTGCTGTTCAATACTGAACCAATTTAAACTTTTTAAAATTATGCAAAATGCAAAACGCTTAGCTGTGTCTCTAATAAAACCGCTGTAACATCAGAGGTAATGTTCATAAGTTGATTAATGGTTTTCTTTCGTTTTTGATGTACTGCAGAATATTTTTTATAAAATACCAGGCCAGGAAAAATCGCCTTCATGTTTCTCTGTGTTTTATCTTCAGCTACTTTGACACAAAGGCATCTGCTGTGATGCTTACACCTTTGATAAAGTCTTGCGTGTGTCAGCTTCCTTTTTATAGATACAAAAATATGTAAATGTACTGATCTGAATTATAATATTTCTGACTGTCAAAATTTCCCAGATTTAAATCGAATTGAATCGATTCGTGGATCGAATCGATTTGGGACCTTGTGAATCGGAATTGAATTGATTCTAGAAATCAGTGACAATACCCAGCCCTAGTTGCAAATCAGGCACAATGGCTAATAAGTGTTTAGCACTAGATGGCACTACAAACAAAACAGGATATGATTACGTACTGAAAAATAACTTACCGGTCCGTTGCCATGCGTTGCCGGTCCATTGCCATGCGTTGCCATGGGTTACCGGTCCTTTGCCATGCATTGCCATGGGTTACCGGTCCGTTGCAATGCGTTGCCATGGGTTACCGGTCCATTGCCATGCGTTGCCATGCGTTGCCATGGGTTTCCATGCGTTACCATGCGTTGCCATGGTTCCGTTGCAATGCGTTGCCATGGGTTACCGGTCCATTGCCATGCGTTGCCATGTGTTGCCATGCGTTGCCATGCGTTGCCATGCGTTGCCATGGGTTACCAGTCCGTTGCCATGGGTTTCGGTCCGTTGCCATGTATTGCCATGGGTTACCGGTCCGTTGCCATGCGTTGCCATGGGTTACCGGTCCGTTGCCATGCGTTGCCATGGCTTAACGGTCCATTGCCATGCGTTGCCGTGCGTTTCCATGCATTGCCATGGGTTACCGGTCCGTTGCCATGTATTGCCATGCGTTGCCATGGATTACCGGTCCGTTGCCATGCGTTGCCATGCGTTGCCATGCGTTTCCATGTGTTTCCATGCGTTTCCATGCGTTGCCATGGGTTACCGGTCCGTTGCCATGCGTTTCCATGCGTTTCCATGGGTTACCGGTCCGTTGCCATGCATTGCCATGGGTTACCGGTCCGTTGCCATGCGTTGGCATGCGTTGGCATGCGTTACCGGTCCGTTGCCATGCGTTGCCATGCGTTGCCATGCGTTACCGGTCCGTTGCCATGGCTTGCCATGGGTTACCGGTCCGTTGACATGCGTTGCCGGTCTGTTGTATGGGCTCAAAATGTGGTCATAAATATTTTGTACTTGTAAATCAGGATTTGTATGTGTAAAAAGAATTTGTGTGTGTGTGTAAAAAACATTTGTGTGTGGACTAATGTGATACATTGAAGAAGAAGAAAGAAAATAAATACACTTATATTGTGAAGGTATACATTGGATATATTGCATTTAGGTTTTTCCTGCCACTGCAAATCTATAACGTCAACCCCCTAACAGGGAGCTCATATAAAAAGGACACTAACTCTCCCTCTGTCTCTGCTCATATTACTGCACTTCACCTCACTGATAGCAAGAGAAACATCCTCCATATTGCGTAGGAGTGTCAAATGAACCCATCAGCTGGATGTCAGGGCTCAGAGCAGCCCACTAACACAGACACATACACATGCTCGCAGACGCACATATTTTCCCCCTGTGAATGGCTCTACGAGAGCTTGGCGGCATATGTATCCAAAATAAAGAAATATGCTGTCTTCTTTTCCTTCCACCGTGGAGAAGGAGGGGTAAAAAACAAAACAAAGCGAAAAAACCCCACAGTCAAGATCTGCCAGTTTGCCAGGCTCCATCTATGCTTTCTCCTAACAGCCTGTGACGGCCTTAATGGTCACAATGAAATCTGCCGTGTTTGTGCCTCCACGTGAGAGACTGCTGTGGCAGTGTTTCCTCGGGGCCCACGTAAGCGTGGCACATCAATGGCACGACTCTTGTCTTGCTGCGTCATTAGGAGACGGGGCTAATGATGCCACGCTGACATTTATTGACCCATCTCCCCAGGTAACCGGCGAGGCCCCGTTCCTCTTGCTTGTTTTGTGATGCAGCTCCTCTCTGAAGCAAACGAGTTAACGCGCGGTGGCATTTATGCGTGTGGTGCTTCCAGTAGATTGTTTTTTATGAGTGATAAATCCATTTAAGGAGCTACCAGGAGGAGATAAAATATTCCCCAAACAGGCTACTTCTTGGGCACATTTGCCTGCGGCTCGTCATGATAGTCTGAAGATGCAATGTGTTTTTCGCTATCATAAATATTCTGCAGCAAGTCAGGGAGGAATTTTAAGTATTGAGCCCATTGAAATGTAATATTTTCTATTACTTCCTGGCTCGCAGAGAAGCTGTTTAGTGTGTTTGAGTGGAGATGTGGTAAGATGTGAGGATACTTTGCTTCAAAAGGAATAAAAGTGGAAGCAGGTGCTAGGGAGATTGTGAACGTGTGTCTGCCTTCGTGCTTAGGAGATAGGTGGGCTGGGGATGAAGTTTGTGGGTTAGCGTGTGCGCAAAAGGCCAAGCAGTTTCCCTTATGAGGTACGACCTCTGTGACCTTTGTGGCGCACGTTGGATCAAGTGGCTTTTATTAACTCACCCAAGTGGCCTCATCTGACCGTGTGACAGACGTTAACGTGGAGGGGAGGAGCAGGCCCGGAAGTGTCTCTACGCTTCACAGCGTAGAGGTTCTGCGATTCTTGCCGTACCTTTTCATCTCAGCAGATGGTGTGCGAAGAAATGAGGCCCCAGTGTGCAGACTGCACACATTAGTTTAGTAACATCTAAAGCCACACAGCAAAGGTGGAGAGAACGCTGGAGAGAAAGCCAGGAGGGGATACGGCGCCTCTGAGATCAGTGTGTGAGCTTTAACTTCCACACAGTTAAAGGCCTGTGTAATAACCGAGCCCAGATGGGAGGGGGGGAAACCAACCTCTGCATGCTGATGCACAGGCGCTTTTTTTTTTTTTTTTGGGTCTCCATGGACCCACAGTCTCATATTGGATTAAACGAGCTGCAGCTGAGGTGGAAAAGTGATGAAGAACACCCGTGTTGTATTTAGAAGGAAAACAGTTAGAGAGTTTCACTTTTGATTGGCAGAAAATTTTCGCCGTGAAATATATTCAAAGTTATTCAATTTTTTTTTTTTTTTTTTGGAGAACAGGAAAGGCTCCTGGCAGAGAATAAATGATGAACGTTTTTAAAAAAAAAAAAATCCCTTAGCTGTTGATGCAGCCCAGGAGTGTGAGAGGTACTACTCCTTTTCATTATCTGTTCAAGACGCCACTGTTCCTCCTGCAGCATCGGTACCAGTCAACGCTCTGTGGTGACAATCTCCTCCATCTTTCTCTTCCTCCTCTTCCTCCCCTCTCTGTGTCACTCTCCTGCCAAATCCACAGGCAATTTTATGGACACAATGTTCCCTTTTTGTGATGTCTAATTGTCTCCAAGAATATTAATATTACATTGGTAATCCTTTTGACACATATATTACAAATGGGAAACCATTTCTTATAGAATGAAAAGGCAATTTACAGGAGGCAAATTGGATGATGGCAAGCAGATTTGTAATGCCACGGGTTAGGCAGCATAATGGATTTGGATGCCACCAGACTGTGAGATGAGTGTCATTAGCCTGTTGCCCTGGAGACACAGTCATAAAAATAACTTCTCCAAGGCAAATGGCTACGTTTTTATGTAATTCAATTTGAACTCTTGGCTCTGCGCTCGTCAGGAATAGCCTCACACACATTTACACATTTAGCCTGTCAACAATTTGGGCTGAGAAATTAACGCACTTTATGACAGTGCGTGTTTGGTTCATGCTTCTCCGGTTATTTTCTTTTGCACACAGGACACCTTGGCTGCATCGCCAGAAGCTACAGCACCCACACCCGTGTCCACGGTGTCTCAATATGCCTGCCAGAGACGGACCACCACAAAGAACAACAACAAGATTTTCACGGTGGGAAATTGCTTCTCCGGCCTCACTCTGAACCACGCTTTTACATGTTGAGCCACCAGAGGCTCGTCGCTCTTACTTTGCAATGTAAAAAGCTTCCCTAATCTGTTCTGCTCTAATTGGATGGCTGGCTCGCTTCACTCACGGGCGCTCTGACACAGCTCTCCCCCAAAATACATTAACCTGCAAATGAGTAGCATCTGCAGCTGCGGCACGTTCGAGGTGCAACAGCTGACATGCCTGCGAACCCTGGCACGGGGGCTGGCACGGACACGCCCAGAGGCGCTGCGTTACGCTGAAATGGGCAGTGGACGTGACACTCCTCACAAGCGATGATGGATCTATCTCTTCGCCATCTGGTGTGGGCGGGTGAAGGAGGGAAGGACAGAGGGGTGGGTAAATTGGGCTGCTGAAGAAGGGTTCGCTCAGGGTACACAACAGAATGGGAAAGTAGTTAATTGGCGTAAGTGTTGATGAGTGTGAAAGGAAGAAACGATGTTGCATTAATAACAGCAATGTAGGTGTTGAGAGCATCAGTCAGAAAACAGAAACAAGCCAGTGTTAGCAAACATTGCATTTACCAAACTTCGTCAGCTATTGTCGAGTGGAACGCATTTGGGGTTCTGACCCTTGCTCAGAGAAAACAGTTTAAAGAGCTTGAGTTGGGGCCTTCTAACTTCTGAGCAACATTGTCTGACATTTTGTAGGCTAAACAATGAATCTCACAAGTAATTTGCCATGTAATGAATGGCAGATTAATCCAGAATGAAAATAGCAATTACTTCTAAATTTAATAGTGCTACTGTGACCTGAAGGAACTTAAAAGAAGAAATGGAGAATGTATGCAGAAACACATCATTATTTATTTCCTCTTTTCTTTTTTGGGGCTGTCACAGAAGGACTTTTTTGTAACTAAAACTGGATGTGAATATGAATTTGAAGTTTTAAAATGTGCAATATTACCGTAAACTGAGTGGCTATGTGTGTGTTTATGTGGGACTGCGGAGACCCACTGATGAGTTTCCGTAAGACGTATTAAGTACAGCTCGCAGAGGGCCTGTGGAGCATCTGTTTCATAATGACTCTTTACTTCCCACTGATGGCAAATGTACATAAAAAATGCACACACGTGTATGGATATTGGCCCGCATGTACGTTCATGCGTGTGCTGCAACCTTCTAACACACACGCACAAAAGCACATGTGTTTTCCCACATGGACGAGCAGTTACAGATGTGCATACCCACCTGCGTCTCACCTGGGGAGCGTTGCTGTTCAATTTCTTATCTCCCCAATTCTTTCCACAGCATTAACTGCATAATTAGCAATCCCACTCAATTTCCCTATCACAGGGATTAACTCATTATCTCTGCATAAGGAAGGCCACATCAAAGCAGAATTTCTGATTAAAGTAAAAGGTTGTTCTAGCTGTGGACCTGAGGAAAACCACAGGTACAACTCCCCATAATTAAGAAATATTTTAACTATCCAAATTGTAGAGAAATAATAATACTAATAATAAAATTTTGCCTTGTCCCGTGACTGGAAACCAATCACCTGTAGTGACAGTGCTAAAGAGCAGCAAGCTATTGATCCACATTGGTGACGTAATCCTTGATTGGTCCTGCTGTCTGCCTGATTGCAAGGGGCAGTAATGATGTAACCTTGTGAATACCCATCTAATGAAAAAGCCTTTGAGTGTGTGAATTAGGGCTTTTGCCCTTGATACCAGTACTGACTATGAACCTGACTGTGGTAACAACTACACCAATCAGACATGACATAATGCCCACTGACAGATGACGTGAATAACACTGATTATCTCTTAATCACAGCACCTGTTAGTGGGTGGGATATATTAGGGAGAAAGCGAACATTTTGCCCTGAAAGTTGATTTGTTAGAAGCAGGAAAAATGGACAAGCATGAGGATTTGAGCAAGTCTGATGAGGGCCAAACTGTGATGGCTAGACGACTGGGTCAGAGCATCTCCAAATCTCCAGCTCTTGTGGGGTGTTCCCGGTCTGCAGTGGTCAGTATTAGAGCAGGGCAATATGGCCAAAAATATTTATCACGACATATATTTGAAAATTTGCGATAACTATATAACTGACGATATAATTGGTGCGAGACAAAATACAACTCCACAACTTTACTAGCGCAAAAAAACCCCCATTCATTTATTTTCACTTAAACAAGCAGCTGTTTTTTATGTGCATTAAAGCTATATAAAAATGTAACAGTGCAAATGCAAATTCCTTGCTGAAAGTTTAACCAAAAGGCATTTCAAGTAGAAATGGGCTGACATATCCTGAGCATAACCATGTATAATATCCACTTGTTGTGTTTGCAGGCAATTTGGGCATCTTCAGTACAATCTGCTACCGAAGCAATTACAGGGAGTTTTTTTTGGTGAAACCTTGTTTGCATTTTTGTGACCAAATTTACCTAGTGACTGCAAGCAACCTTGGGGAGTAAGGTTGGTGGAGTAACGCTTATTTTTTTCCTATTTACTGGCTGTTACCAGGCAGTCACTAACCAGTCTCCATGCCTGTGTGACTGGTCACAAAGGGAAATTCCAATCTTCCAATCCTGAGAATCTGAGGTATTATGTTACTTAACATGTAACAATTTCCACAGTGGCATTTGTTGGTTGGCAGCCTTGGCATTAAATCGTCTGCCTTGCATTGATGGAAAGTGGCCAAATATGGATCAATGTTGCTCCTTCATGGACGTTTTCAATAACAAGTGCTTGAAAAGTTCACTCTTACTCATTAGCGAGTTAGATGTCAGCTGGCAGCACTGTGTTGTCAAATAGTCTCAGAGGAGAAGCTTGTATAAAGGCAAGGAGAATTTGTAACTCTAAAGCTTTTGTAATGTTCTTATAAAGGGATGTTAATATGCAGAACAGCTACAGAACACACTCACATTATTATCAGATGATAAAGCAGCCGGCATGGTGGCGCAGTGTTTTGCTCTGCAAGAAGGTCGCAGGAAGAAGGCCCTGGGTTCAAATCCAGTCTTGGGCCTTTCTATGTGGAATTAACTGTCAATTGACTGTCGTTGTGAATCCGAGTTATTGTGTTTGGTATATACACTGCTGTGTGCCATGGCTAGCCAGTGCCACCGTCACTCAGCAACATAATACCTTGTAACCAAAAATAAAAGTGAAAGACAGCCTCTACCAGTCAAGCATTTGCATGACTCTCAAAATCTGAGCTTCACTATGGCACTTTAGCAATTATTCAGAAGATTTGCATATTACATATAATATTTTAACATTATCTGACTTAATGTTTTTACCACTGTTCCCTTCAAGGTCATTTCCTTGCACAGGTCTAAACCAGTTCGAGTGCTGGTGCTATTTTCAGATCACTCCCTGGAGGTCAAGTTCTAAAGACTGTTACATACCTCCAACTTCCGCAAATATCAGTTTCAATCTGACCCGACCTTCGAGGATCGTAACTGGTGATAAGTGCCTGGTGTCCAGCTGTGACCCAGAGACCAAACAGCAGTAAAAGAGCCCAAAGTTACCGATCCTGAAGAAGGTTAGAAGGTTAGGATCGGGGGCATCACAGATTTCTGAACTTTAGATTCAAATTCTACAGTCGGACTGCCAAACTCAGTTTTACTGAATGTCCTGAAAGGCCTCAAGAGGAACACTGAGAACAGAGGACCTGAACTGTGGCATGCTGGGCTTGCTCATGGTACATATACTAGTTGCAGGATTGGATCCCTCACAGTTATCCTTCCCTAAGTTGACACAATGCAGGTGATAATGCCAAACGCGCCATTGGAAATGGTTATAAAGGGAATTCCTGGGAGTGATCTAAGGACTTTTTCCCACCTATAATTCATTTAATCTGCTCCAAAGGCGTTAATGAGTTTGTAAACTTGTAGCTTTTCCCCGTGGTTTGTTTTGTTTTGTTTTTTTTTACACATGAATAAATCCAAGTGGCTCAAATTACATCACTAAAAGCCACGTAAGAGTTTTCAGCCTGCTTATTGGCCAGATGTGTCTGGAGCAGGAGCAACAAAAGTAAATATAAGAAGATGGTGTGTAAGAAAACAGAGAGTTTGCATTCATTGTACGGCTAGCTGCCTTCTCGCACATCCTTTTGCACATCCATAGTACCTTCTTGCATTGAGAATACAAAGCAGACGCTGTTACGGGATGTTTTTTAGCTCAAACTTGTAACATACACCTGGTAGTTAGTTCGGATCGGGGTCGGATCACGTTCACAATAAAAACATATCTGCGTGGATGTTTAAAAATGTTTCTAAGACTTCTAAATTCCCCTCCTGATGCATACGTGCCCGAAAAGGGTTTTTCTTCCAAGCAGTCACTGAAAAACAGTCAGTACATTTTTCCTCACAAAGCATCCCAAAGTAGGTAAAATAAATCTTTCATTAAATTTGATGGATTTGGTTCATTAAGGAAGAAAAGACATATGATTATTTAACCTCCGTAGTGCAAACCAATTATAAAGTCAATTATTCTTTGGATATTTGGAAAATGTTCCAAAAGCCCAGAAATGCAATTTTGTGATATCATTACCCAGTGTAAAGTATAGACATACAGAGTATGAGGAATATAGGGCGAGTGGGATTTTTTAACTCAAATCTACAATAGGCCACACAACACAAAAGTAAACCTAGATACTGGTACGGTAAATTGTGGCTTTGGTGGGCAGTTTTCATTTAACTGAATGCATACTGTCCTTATGTCTGCCGTCAGTTTGAGATATTAAATTAACTGTTGCAATCAAGCAGTAATCTGTAGGTATTAAAAAGATTAAGCACAGTGCTGAAAGCAGCAGGTGTTTGAGTGATCAGTTTAGTCTCCACAAGCAAGTCAGTCCACATAGACTACCCTGTTAAAATACCCAATTTTGCAGTGGAAACAAGTACTTTCCCTGCCTGGTACAGATGTGGTTTTGTCACAATAGGTATTTTAAAATTTTCACTTTTTTGTTGTTGTTTTAATTAGAAAGGTTTACCCTTC